CTTGAGCCACAGCGCCACTTCTGGCTTTTTCTGCTTATGTGGTACTGAGGAATCGAACCCAGGGCCTCATGCATGCAAGGCAAGCACTCTACCACTGAGCCACCTTCCCAGCCCCTATATACATTTTTCTAATTTGGGGACGGGAAAGGAAATAAAATGCTGAAATAACAATACAGGTTGACCCACTGTAACAATGAGATGTACAAGACATTATGTTGAAAACAAACTTTACAATTTTGCAGGCAGGGGTTGGGGGGGGGGTAGGGGAAGTAGGGAGGAAAGGGATGATAGGGGAAAATCAAAGGAGGGGGTAACAATGCTCAATAGGAAATGGACTCATTACCTTGCTCATGTAACTGTAACCCATCTGTGCAGTATCTTTACAGTAAAAATATATATTCAAAATTAAAAATAATTCCAAGGGAAGCTGCGACTAAACAAAAATAATAAATGATCACAGTAGCTAACGTGTATGTTGTTTCCTTTTGACTTTTAAATTTGCTATGTACTTTATACTGAATGTAAGGTTAAAAAGTAATAACCTAGGCTTCTGAAATTGCAAGGACTTATCTGGATAGGGGGAATACTGTTCACATTTAGAAATTATCTCATTAGTCACTGTATAGTGTGCTTATGCCAATAAAGAGCAAACACTAAAATGAAAGGGTCTGGGAATGATAAATTACTTTTAAGTAGGGCAAGGAAAAACGAGACTGATGGAGAAGGTGGCTCAGGGCCAGAGGGAATAAAAAGGAAAGCCGTAGGCAGCGGAGAGCTCAGGAAGCAGCGGGAGGATGAAGCAGGGAGGGTATAATGAAGCCCATACTCCTGAATTTATCAGCAATTTCACAGACACGTTAATGAACAGAAGGAAATTAATCAAGAACGTTATCTAACGTGGCCCACAAGGGGGGGTTATATTTTAGAAATGGCTTGGCCTTGTTCATGGCAGAGGCGGGGGCGGGGGGAGTGGGGACCCAGCAACCTAAGTGTCTTTAGGCTTGTGGGTTCAGGGACACAGAGAATGTGACAAGGTTCCCAGGTCTATATTTCGTAGAGGTCAAAGGAGAAAGGTCAGCAAACCTGCTTCATTACTGCTTGTGAAAACTTTACTCACTTTTCATATTATTTGCAACTGATACCTAAAATATAAATGGACATCATGGATGTTCCACTGTCCTTAGAGATGTCGGACGATGCCCTACAACCCAATACATTTGGCCTCTGTGTATGTCTCTTGCATGCAACATTATTCTTCAATGCTTAGATCCAACTGGCTTTGTCTTCCTCAAACATTATAAGCTTGTTCCCAGGACTGGTACGCATCAAGACACTGACAGCAATCTTCTCCTATAGTCTGGCAAGTCTATATCCTTATAGTGACAGAAGCAGTGGTCCCTGGACATGTTAGATACATCAATATATTATATCATTTATGGCACTTTGAACTTATAACCTAAAGAAGCCTAATCAAACAACAGTTTATTTCTAGACTAAGGAGGAGATGACTTTTTCTGGAGTCTAGTTGGTAAATAAACTTTTATGTCCAGAATGAGATGTTTTCTCAGCAACAGAAGGAAAAAGGCATTCAAGTTGTGAGGAAGCACTTTTTAAGAGGGGCAGTAAGGACCCTGGAAATGGTCACTGTGGTTGGGTTCTAAAGAACAGACAAAAATATGGAACCAACCCAGATGCCCCTCAGTAGATGATCAAGAAAATGTGGTATATATACACAATGGAATTCTATGCCTCCATCAGAAAGAATGACATTTCCCCATTTGTTAGGAAATGGAAAGGCTTGGAAAAAATTATATTAAGTGAAGTAAGCCAGGCCCAAAGAAACATAGGTCCTATGGTTTCCCTTATTTGCAATATCTAGTATATGTCTGAGTCAAGCAGAAAAGGTCAGATAAGATGATGTTAGGGAAAGGAACCCTAAGATATGTATTCAAATGTTTTGTTTTCTTTCATGCGATTGTTTCTAACACATTTATAAGATGATTTCTTTGTTGCATTGTATGTCCCTCCCCCACAGTATAACCCCTGCTTTCACTGTATTTGATGTGGGTATAATTTGTGGAGGGGAAGGGGAAAAACAAATCATTTAAATAGGAATACAGGTGGACCCATTGCAACAATAAGATGTACAAGTTGTTATGTCGAAAACGAACTTTACAACTTTGGTGGGGGGAGTGGGGAGGGCGGGGAGGATTGGGTGGGGGGCGGGGGAGGGGAGGATGGGAAGGGATGGGAAGGGTAAACAAAGGAGGAGGCTACAATGCTTGATAAGAAATGTACTCATTATCTTGCCCATGTAATTGTAACCCCTCTGTACAGTATTTTCACAATAAAAAAAAGAATAGAAAAAATTACCTGAGATCAATTTAAGACAATTTGTGTTTATAGAGTATCAGGAAAAATAAAAGAAAAAATTAATAACTTATATAAGAAACTAGCAGGAAGTAAGGAGGAAGGTAATTGCCTTCCTGTGCAAAGGAAATCTAATATGTAACAAGAAGAATGTGCGGCAGGGCATTCCTGACAGCCGCTCTGAATTTGTATGGAGGAGTTCGTACTTTTAAAAATGTTTCCTTAAGGGAAGATACATTAATCTCTTTTCTTAGGCTAGAATAGCATATAATTGAAATGTGTGCTATTTACTTCTTCAGGAATCATTAATAAACATTTCAGCCATGATCTGCTGTATATGAAAATACATTATATTTTTATTCTTTTTTTAGAAGAATCAAGGGTGAAGAATGGTATGCTACATACCCCCTTGTTTTTGCTACTTATATTTACACATTATAATGCAATTATACACACGTAAGTAGAAGATGGCTTATCCAAAACCACTTTGATAAACACGATGTGAGGCAAAGAGATCAGACAAAAAGATCTTGTATGAGCAAGAAGATGGGATATCTTTCTATATAACTGTATCATCTCAGAAAAAAAACAACCCTGAATTCTGTAGCAGTCGAAAGGATTTAAGAGAGATTTGATGTTCCTTCTAGGCTTGGAACAATGGTTCTGAAATTTGAGTGTGTCAAGGCACCACAGGAAAGGTTGTTACAACCACTGAGCTAATCCAAGTATCTTGTTGTAGTTGTTTTCAAAAAAATTGCAGACATTACTGATGCTGCTAGTCTGAGGAGGTCATCTTTTAAGAACTTCAGATCAAGGGATTGCTCTCCAATTCTGGATGTACATTAAAATGTTATAGAGAGCTCAATCTAGTACCCATGTTTTACTCCAGTTCCCAAATATAAGTGATTTTTTATGCAGGAGTCTCTCCTAGCAGTAGATACTAAATCATACAATGTTGTTGTTGTTGTTCAACAACTGGAGATACTGGTGTCAGTACTAGGACTGAGAACATGGAGTGGCTAATATTTTGGGTAGAAAAAGGAAGTCCAGAGTCAATCATGAAAGGTCTTCACTACCAAGCTGAGGAACATATGAGTCCATTGGGGGTCAATGTGATATCATCACAGTCCTTTCAGTAGAAGAGTGATATAATGTGGAAGCAAGATCCTGTAAGACTAGGAGATTACCTAGGATGGAATGGAAATCAAATCTAAGAGTGTATGCTCAGAGTGGTGTGTTCCATTAAAATGTTTTATTTTTGTATCTTTAATTAAAAGATAACTTGGAATATATTTTATCAGCTGTAAACAATATCTCCTCTGTTAACAACAGTTGCTAACTAAAAGATTTTTTACTAGGTAGAATTTGAGTTTCTTAAACCAATGTTTCTTAGACCGGAAATGTACTCTGCAGGAATTTAAGATTCACTTTTTTTCTAGTCTGTTAAGAGTCATTACATGGTATTCAATTGAGAAATGATGGTCTGCTAATGCAACAAAATTGAACCATTATAAGAGATAGCCCAGTCAGAATCATCAGGATCACCTCAACTACATTTCCAGAGGAAGAGAAAACGAGTGTACAAAGATCTTAGGGATGTGAAATAGAGAATCAAGAGAGGATAAAATGAAGGATAAAATATAGAATCTAAGGGGTAACAGCCGAATGTGAGACAGTGATTAGAAGGCAATGCATTCCCACTGGAAGAAAGCCCTACACTGGTCAAAGGATCAGAGCCAACACCACCCTCTGCTGGGCATATTGGGAATTATTTTATCTTCACAGCTTAGCCAAATTACAAAAACTGGAAAATATAGTATTTTTTGACTAATGAAGACTCAAGAAATAGTTTTAAGAATAAAAGAATAGGTCAGGTATCAGTGGCTCATGCCTGTAATCCTAGTTACTCACACACCTGATCTGAGTAAAGTAATTCCAAGCTAACCAGGCCAGCAAAGTCCCTGAGAGTCTTTTTTTTTTTTTTTTGATTTTTTAAATTTTATTTGTGAACATACTGTACAGAGGGGTTACAATTACATGGGCAGGATAATGCGTACATTTCTTACCAAGCATTGCAGCCTCCTCCTTTGTTTACCCTTCACATCCCTTCCCAGCCTCCCCCCTCCTCCCCACCCATCCCCCCCCCTCCCCCGCACCGACGTTGTAAAGCTTGTTTTCGACATGACAACTTGTACTTCTCATTGTTGCAACAGGTCCCTGAGAGTCTTATGTCTAGTTAACCACCAAAATCCAGAAAGTGGAGCTGAGGCTTAAGAGGTAGAGCACTAGTCTTAAGCAAAAAAGGTCAGGGACAGAGCTCAGGCTCTGAGTTCAAGCCCCAGGATTGGCACACACAAAAAAGTTAGAACATTTAACTTCATCGCTTTATATTCTTCAGAAAATAAAACATTAGCATGAAAAATTTCAATAGTTTTTCTTAATTATTTTTATTTGGAACATACATTATCATTAGCATATCTGAACCATTAGGCATTATATAAAAGGACTTTAAGTCCCAAAAGAAATATCATTAATAATATAACATAAAGAAAATGTCAAAATTTTTATTTGTGTGTTCAAAATAGTCTAATTTAAAAACTATAACAAAACAAAATAGGACTGTTACCTACCGGAGCCTCTGGTTATATTGTTTAACCTTTTCCAAGGATGCTGCATTTATCTGCGCTTGAAATTCTTCCACAGAAACATTGTCTCTATAGTAATATCCTTCCATACTTTCCAGGGCTGTGCAAACAAGACAATGTAAATTTACATGCAAGTCTGTAAATTAACTTCTGCACAGGAAGTCTAATTTCATTGACTCTTGGTAGCTGTATCAAATAGCTTCAATGATAAGCATACAAGTAAGAAAGAATTCTTTCCAAAAATGAAAAAAAAATATTCTTGTACTCTCAAAATAAATACCAAATATTTGGTGATTTTTCTGATAAATAGGCAAAGAAAATTTCTAGTTTAGACTGTCCTCTATTTTTAATACATTTTGCATACATTTTAGAAGTCTAGGCCACCCCCAAAATACATTTCTCTGGCTCAAGGATTATTCTGAGCTGATTATTTTGAGAAATTGCAGGCTCAAGAGCAGCTCTGAAAATATAGAAGTGTTTTGTAAGGGAAATTTGCATCAATAAAGGAAATTTGCATTTGTCAGATTGACTCTCCTCACCTTCTCAGTGGAGAAGGCCCTGACTTTCATCGGCAGGACAAACCGTGTTTTTACATTGTGCTCTTTCTGCTACCTCCCAGCAACCAGAACTATCTTCTTTGTTTCAACAGATAATGGTACAATAGTCCCCCCCTCATCCATAGGAGATCCCTTCTAAGACTCCAGTGGATGCTTGAAAACCAGTATTAATAATGCCTTGTAGGGATTTTCCCCCTATAAGTAAAGTTAGCATAACTGGTTTTTCTTTCTTTATGATTTTAAAAGTGGAAGTCTTAGTTTCCCCATATATCTCAATTAGTTGAGAACTTTCATTTGTGTGTATGTGTGTGTGTGTGTGTGTTGCTCCTGGAACTTGAACTCAGGGCTTACATGCTATCTCTGAGCTTTGTGCTCAAGGGTAGGCTCTTTATCACTTGAGTCACACTCTACTTCTGACTTGTTGGTGGTTAATTGAAGATAAGCGTTTATCACCTATGCTGGCTTTGAACCTCAATTCTCAAATCTCAGCCTCTCAAGTAGCTAGGATTATAGGCATGGGCCACCAGTGCCTGACTGAGAACTTTCACCTTTTTACTTAAAGTAAGTATTTTATGGCTTCTCTGGGATATCCCAATTATCAGCATCATTCTTCTTGCATTGTAGGATTTTATTAAGTAAAATAAGGGTTTCACAAGCACAAAGATATCAGAAAAGTCAATGATCTGATCATTGGGGTCACCTAACTGAATAGCAGGCATATAGTATATCTTGCATCATGGATACACTGGACAAAGGGAAGATAATTATTTCTTTAATAAACATTTATAGAATAATTGCCTAAATACCATGATTATTCAAATTAGTGAAAAAAGTCATGATTGTTAAGATTAAATTTACCTATAAATATTGATAAAGATAGAAATTAATTAAATACATGAAGCACAAAGAAAAAAGTTTACCTTGTGCAAAGAGAACGGGATGAATTTTAAATCCTCCGCCATTTTTCAACCTTTGGGGTAGTTGTTCAAAATGATAACTATCTAGGTAGAAGTAAACTTTCAGAGCTTGCCGGCTTCCTTCTGCTTGGTATGTTAGAGAAACATCTGAAATGATATTGAATGTTAGGTTACTCCTAATAATAATCACGAAAGCTTTGCATGAGTTATATTAGTTATACATAAGTGATTCATTGTAGGGAATATATAAATATATATATAAATATATAAATATATATAAATAACATTGAATTTTAATTTTATATTCCATGTTCACTGCTGCATCATGATATATAGGGAAGTAATTGCCTTGGGGATATATTAACTTTGTTTCTGTACTTGCTCATTAGTTCTAAGAGATTTCTGTTGTGGTTTTTAGATTTTCCACAGAGATGATCATCATGCTTCATTTTTGTTCACCTTGCCTATGAACAAAGATAGTTTCATTTCTTCCTTGTTAATCTTGGTACTTCCTATTCCCTTTTCTTGTCTTATTGCATTAGCAAGGACTTCTAGCACAGTACTGAAAAGGAATGGAGGCATAGACTTCGTTTGTTCCTGATAATGAGAAATCTTGTAGTTTCTCAGCATTAAATATGATAATAGAGGCTTTACAGGTGTTCTTTATTATGCTGAGTAAGTTTTTGTGTTTCTAGTTTACTGAAAGTTCTTATTATGAGTAAAGGCTATATTTTATCAATTCTTTATGGCATCTCCTGATGTGATTATGTGATTTCTACTTTTAGCCAGTCATGTAATGGATTTTATTACTTGATTTTCAGTACGGAATCAGAAGTGCATATCTAAGGTAAATCCCACTTGATTATAGAATGTAATTCATTGTATACATGGTTAGATTTGGGGGTTTTTGTACTTAATGTTCATGAGAATTGTTACCAGTACAAGATGTTCTTTGATGGAAATGATATCTGTGCTTTCCTATAGTATTCTTAGTTTTGACTCCATTATGGAATGGGTGCCTGGTAATTTTTAGCAAATTATAGTCCCTTAGTTCCTAGCATATGTTCATTTAAGTTTGTAAAAGTCATATAATATGTGAGTCCCCAGATGCACCATCATTTTCCTATCAATACTATCATCCATTTAACAGACAGATTGGTTACACAGAAGCAAAAGAATTTAACAGAAATTAAAATACAAATGACAGAGAGGAAAGGGAAACTACAAAATAGAAGTATTTGGGCTTCATAAATTTGTATTCTATTCAGTGTTCATGCATATTTTTTTTCATTTTAGGAACCAGAAGTTAAGATCTATACAATACATAAAACACTATCAATTTGCAATCCTTTGATAACTTATTTCTCTTTCATAACTTCTCTTAAAACTATAGTAAAAAAATAAAATAAGTGTTATTATATGGCAAAAAGATGTTTGAAGTTTTAATGGAACATCTCCTTTACTGATATTGGAGAAATAAACATTAAATAACAAGAAGTATGTCATCTGCAATCACAAATGTCATTTGACCTTGAACTCTACTTTTGTATCAGTCTTGTTTCAAGAAAGAGGTTTGAAGTAGCAAATGTGAATTAAGAATGTGTATTAAATGCTTACTATGTTTTGGTCTTAATTGTTTAAGTACTTAGTGTGAATATTTGAGTTTTATAGGAAGACTGTACATTTTTTTACTAAGGTGAAAACATTTGTCACGATTAAGTGTCATAAAAAGGAGACGATTTACGATAGCACTGTGAAAAACTCCTACAGTATTTTAATTCTCAAGTTGGTTGATTTTTATTAAAGATCAGTAAGTTTAGGACCTTTAAAAATAGCAATTAAATACACAAATTTGGAAAGATAATTTTTAATGACTGGAAGGCAAGGACAGAAGTTGATTCATTTTTGATTGGGTGTTTGGGAAACAACTGTACAAAAACCCATGCCAATTTTGTTAACGGTTGCTATGTGCTAATTTTGTTAATTGTTGCTATGTGCTCTGTGTCTTGAATGTACTTAGCAAGTATGCCCCAAGGACTCATTTCGACTAAAATTATGAATGAGACAGCCTTCCTAGGGGATTTTGAATCCAAACCATGTATAGCCAACTTCTTATTCAGTCAAGTGAGACATCTGTTATGTCAAAACATAGCAACTTTTCTTATTACAGGATTCCATATGCAGTACTGTACTAAGTCTGTTGCTTTAGTTAATGCGAATCTGATTTAGTAATCTCACTGAGTAACAGGTCATGTCCAGTCTAAGCTGATGTACGTGAGCACTTTTAATATATTAGTATCTAGTAATTCACAGGATTTTTCATAAAGACTAAAACTATTACTCAAAATGTACTCTCCGAGCAAAACCACAAAATTCTATGAAAGAGATAACCCAAATTAAATAAAGAGAAATGTTTACAGTTAGGAAGTCTCAATATTATCAAGATGTCATTTATTCTCATCCTGATGTATGTATGGTTTTAATGCAATCCCAGTCAAAATTCTGAAGTTTCACAGATAAGAGAAAATGGTGCTAAAGTTTCTACGAAGAGGCAAAAGACTCAGAAGAGTAAATACAATATTGGAAAGATAAGAACATACTTGGAGGGCAGACATGATCTGATGTGAAGGATTATTAGAAAGCTAAAGCAAGGCTGTAGTGTTGACCAAATGAAGAACAAGTACACCACTGCAATCTAGAAATAGCTCAGAAGTAGACCCACGGAAATACAATCCACCTGACTTTGACAAGGGAGCAAAGGCAACATGACAGAGAAAAGATCATCATTTCAACACATGGTTCTGACACAAGTGGGTGCCTACAGAAAATAAAACTGAATCTAAGCACTGGACTTACATCCCTCAAAAATTACATCAAAATGAATCCAAGACCCAAATGTGAACTGTGAAACTATATGCATCCTAGAAGATAACGTAAGAAAAAACCCTAGATGACTTCAGATGACATTTTAGAAATAACATCTCAGTCACAATCAAGAAAATGAGAATTTATAAGCTGGGCTTCATTAAAATTTAAAACTTTTGCTTTATGAAAAATACTGTAAAAAAATGAGAAGACAAGCAATGGATGAGGGGAAAATTTTCACAAAAGGCACTTCTGGTAAAGAGAAAAGTCATCCCAAATAGATGAAGCACTCTCAAAATCCAACAGGTTAAACTTTTTTAAAAATCTTTTAAAATATGCATAATATTGTGGAATTGAGAATCATTAAGTTTTACTTGTAGAACTTTAACTTCAATAAAAAATATCAAACTTCCCTATTAGTACTATATAATGAAGAAGAATGGGGTGAGCCATTGTATCTAGCTCAGAAAATCAGTCTCTTTAATACAACACAATGTTACCAGTGATGCTGCAAATAAAGGTTTCTGAAAATGCAAAGTGATAAAGTATGGGGCATGATTCAAGTACTTAGCTGAATATCACATTAAACCACATAAAACATTAATTCAAATACATTATCTTTTCTTCTTTTTTCATTGATTATTGAGATAGAGTATCACTTTCTGCCTGAACTTGTACCGGATCACAATTATCCCAATTTTTACACTTTCTACCTTAGCTGATGACAGACATATACCACCGCATCCAAGTTGGTTGAGGTGGAGTGTCACAATCACTTTTGTATCAGCTGGCCTTGAGCTGCTATCCTACTGATCTCGGCCTCCATGGTAGCTAGGATTACAGGACTGAGGCACTGCCTCAGAGTCAAATACATTATCTTACTTAAGTCCCTTAAGTTAGACAAAACTCATATTTGCAAGTAAGAATGGGCCCAGGATTTGTACTCAGATTTCTTGAGGCCAAAGTCATTGGTCACTTTTCACCTCATGCTTCCTCCCTTCTCCTTTCACAGAGATGTACCAACAAATCTCCATATCAGTGCTGTGGATTTTTATAAGTCAATCTAACTCCTCTTTTCTATATATGTAGAAAGATGAACCTACATGCAATGAAGAATAATAAAGTTCTAATTTTCTTATGTTGATTAAATGAGACATTATGACCCTTTGAGCAGTGAATAATTCTCTTCTTCACTGAATAAACTTCAAATGTGAACTGAATTTCTTTTTTTCTTGTCAGTTCTGGCATTTGAATTTAGGGGCCTTGTTCTCTCAATCAACTTTCTTGCTCATGAATGGTGCTCTACCACTTAAGCCATACCTCCAGTCTGCTGTTAATTTGCTGGTGACTGGGAATAAAGTCTCATGGACTTTTCTTCCTGAGCTAGCTTTGAACCAGGTTTTCCAGTCTCAGCCTCCTGAGTAGCTAGAATTACTGGCATGAGCCTTGGGCACCTGGATTACTATTATATTCACTTGGGAAAACACAGGAGACATATAGTGGTAATATTAAAAAGTTGTTAAAGACCTTTTGGACTGACAGACAGCTTTACTTTAAACCTATTTAGGACATTGTTGAAAGAGTAGATAAATAATGATAACTTGCAGAAACTAAAAGACATGGTGAACAAGATGGCACGGGCTCACACCTGTAATCCTAGCTACATGGGAGGCTGAGATCTGAGGCTGAGGTTTGAAGCCAGGAGAGAAAAGTCCTTGTGACTCTTGTCTCCAGTTAATCACCAAAAAGCCAGAAGTAGAGGTATAGCTCAAGAGGCAGAGCATTAGCCTTGAATGAAAAAGCAAAGCAAGAACATGAAGTCTAATGAGCTCAAGCTCCAGGACTGGCACAAAATAAATGAAATGAAATGAAAATACATACACAGGTACTTCTAGTTACCTTTCTGAGGCATACAACTCCTAGGCTACAGCCTTTGCTTGATTTAATGATGAAAAACATTTTAAAATTCATAGAACACACACAAAAAACAGATAAAGAAAGTAACATCAAAGTTATATCATAAGTTACTATTTTATGGGAAAGAAATTCTATAAACATATAACTACTTACTTGCAACCAACGGTTCCTCTTCTGATGGTCTGAAGTAAAAGGAAACCTTCTCTAAATCAAACAGCGCAACCAGGGTATCTTCTAGCATGGCTTGTTCATCCGTCTACAAAGAACAAAGAAACATAGCATATAACATATGACACTATACTGTGATGCAAGAGTTTGATGCTGAAAAGGAAATTAACAAGTACCAGAAAATTCCAAGTCCATTGTTCATTTTCCTTTACTTACTGGTGTATTTATCTATTTAGATAATTTAATTCAAGGCCTCCCACTTGTTAGGTATGGTATTTAGCTCTCTTGCTTTATTTTTCAGATAAGATCTTGTGCTTTTTCTCCAGGAAGATGATCCTCCTAATCTCTACCACCTGAGTAGCTATAATTACAAATATGCTCAACCATGCCAGGCCCTTATATACTGTTGTAGTTTTCCTTTAATACCTTGCTTAATTGGTTATACACACACCTGTGCAGCCTATTTGGCAGCTAGATTATATTCATATTGATTTAATTTACAAATAATGCGTGAAGAGCACACTGTTTGCCATGAGTAACTTGATATTTTTTTAAAAAAACAGCTAAAAAACAAAAGCACTGTTTTATTTAAAAGCCGCATTACATAACAGCTATTCTTTTTTACAGTAAGATAATTTATTTATGTTTCCATTTGCTGTTGCTATAACTGTAATAAAAGCAATTTTCATGTGTGTATATATAACTTTTTCATATTATATATGTATACACATATATAACACACATATACATATACATATATGTGTGTATATATGTGTGTGTATATATATATATATATATATATATATAAAACTGTTGGATCCAACGTTTTTAATCATTTGCCTATTCTTACAACATACACTTTTCTAGAAATGCAGGATATGGCTCAGTGGTATGTCTCATTTTTCTGGTACTGGATTCTTCCCTCTATTAGCAGTTCATAACTTCTCCACAAGAGTACTGGATTCATTTCATCATGAAAGTATAATTAGGTTTACCATAGACTGATTTACTTGTAAAAGTAACATTTGTTTCCTTGATAATGTGACTGATCTTTTCAAACCATCACTTCAACAAAATACCTTAACAAGGTGCTATAAGCTTGCACCATGTTTTAAGGGCAGCATTATTTGTAGTGAAATAAGTGGTAAGGAATTTTCATTGTATTCAAAACAACCAGAAAGGAACTCAACCCAAAGAAAGACACATGGCAGGGGGAAAAAAGGTGAAGAAAATGGTCATTTTTGCACAGTGGTGCAATACTTAAAGCGTGTGTGTGTGTGTGTGTGTGTGTGTGTGTGTGTGTGTGTGTGTGTACATATATTAACCCATATATACATATATCACATATATACATATACATGTATACATACATACACATACATCTGTGTATAATTTTAATGGGGGCTGGATAAATATCTATTAGACTTTTTTTTTTGGTGCTGGTACCAGGTTTAAACTAGCATTTTGCTAGTTGATTTGAAATAAAGACTTTTCTTGGGCTAATTTCAGACCTTTATTCTCCAGGTCTCAGCCTCTTTATGAGCTAAAATTATAGGTGTGATTCACTAGCACATGACTCTACTGTTATCTTTAAAAATCATTTAGATGCAGCAGAAACAACATTTTGTTTATTCAGACATCAGTTAATAGAAATTTGTGTTGTCAATACTTTTTAAGTTATTCTGAATATTTGGGTTTTTACTTTCACTGTACTTGAGTTTGAACTCCGAGCTTCATGCTATGCTTGCTAGTTGGATGCTCTACTACTTGAGCCATATCACCTTTTTTGCTTTGGTTATTTTTCAGATGAAGTCTTCTATCTGATTTTGCCTGGCCTACTATCTACGGCCTCTTGCTTAGCTGGGCCACATGTGTTTACATCAATCACCATTGCCTGACTTACTGTTGAGATTCAGTCTTAGCAAACTTATTTCCTGAGCTGGCTTATTCCATGATCCTCACAATCGTTTTCTCCAGAGTAGCTGAGATTATATGTGTGAGCCACTGTGGTCTCATGAATAATTTTTCTGGAAATATCTGTGCACACATTTTTGTGTAAATGGAATTTTTGGTTTCATTTAGGTATTAAGTAGGTGTGGAAATTCTGGGTAATATGGGAACTCGGAAGTTTTAAGTGCCAAAATGATTTCCAAAATACTTGCACTATTTTACATTCCATGTAAAATTCCATATGCTGTGGTTTTGTGTTTTGTAGTTTAAATGACACTGGTGGTCATCTTTCCAAGTTATCATTCTCATTTTTATTTCTTATCTAGTGAGTTTATTATTCAACTTATTTCCTCACTTTTAAGTTGAGTCATTTATCTATTTACTAGTTATTTTTGAGGGTTCTTTATAGAAGAGGGTTAAATGTCATTTATTAGCTATGTGAGTTATTAGTTACTATATGATTTATACATGTTTTCCCATTATTAAAAAATTTGGGTAAGATTCAGTTTAAAGCAAAAGACACAGTGATTTGATAAATGTTTTAAAATTAGGATATAAAATACAAATAAGGACTCATTTATTCACTTATTCAACAAATACTTTGTCCCAACCAGATGTTAGGGTGTGGGCTTTCTATCATACATAATTTACATTTGATAATTGATAATTCATTTTTATTGTTTTTAAACACCTTTTCCAAAGTGATTTATTTCAAATTAATCAGGTAAGAAGTAAAGCACACACATGGATTCAACTGAGTTTTTAAAAAGAACCTATTTCTTTTCCTCTAAAGTACACTGAGATGGACTCTCTTAACACTCTTAACACTCTTAACACTCCAGAAACTGCTACAGTTGGACAATGCAACAATCCCCTCCCTCCCACCAACATCACTGAAGAAAAGTACTAGTGTGATGTATGAACTCATATATTTGCTTTAAAACACAACTATATTACTTGGCAGGTCAATTTTCTACCTGTATAATGATAAAACCTACTTGTGTGTTAATAATCTCAGTTCTATTCAATAAGCACCTGAAATTTAATACAAGAGTGAACAGGTGTGCCTTTCAACCTCATAACAACTATGAGAACCACAGAAAGTATATAGAAATAAGCTCTAACTTCCCTATAGTTTCATTGTTAAGATGTTCCCATGTGCTTTCTTCCTATCCAATGAGGATACATATTTTTCTTCTATTAGCTTCGTGTTCTTAAATTCAGTGGGATAAACAGGCTCACAAAGAAAACAACTATAATGACTGAGCACATGCAAATTTTAAATAGCTGGTCAGACAGTCCCGCATTCAAATCCATCTGAGTTGCTCTATCAAGCACACGCCAGACTATTAGCCATATTAGCCATAACAGGAGCCTGCGTTTCTTTGAGGCTGTTCCTCCAGGACAGAAAATGAAAAAAACATCTTTACAAGCCCTCCTTCCTTCTGATGACCTTTTTCTGTCTGTCCTCAAGGATCCAAGAATTAGTAACAAATGGAAGCTTTCTCAGCTCTTAACAACCACAGACAACAGATTAAAAAATTAAGAACACATATGTTGTATATATTTATTAAAACCTGAAGGATCACTAGAAAGATAAGTCACTGAAAGACTCTGGACACAATAGTGAAGGCAATAAAGAGAGGGTGGAGTAACCAATCACTCCACAGGGGAGTAGCATGTGAGGATGTAGGTTATAAATGACATGGACAGAAGGCGTCCTGTGACTTCTTACCAAGTTTGGTGATAGAAGTGATTGAAAGTGGAAAAGAACCCCTGCATTCGCTATCTGATCCAGCCACCTCCTGCTGGCTTCCCACGTTTCCATCTCACTTTCCTTGCTGTTATCAAACATCTGGTTTAAGGCCGCCATAAGCTGCTCTGAGAAGGCGCAGACAGTGGCCACGAGGCTTTGACAGAAAACCATGTCTCTCCGAAGCTGTGTTTCACTATCTATAGTTAAAGAGAACACAAAGACAGCTTTCAGACATGTCGTGCACTGGAGAGAACCTATTCACAAAGCATTTACAGGCAGGGTCATTTGATCTTCCCCAAAAAACTCATGCCAGGTAGAAAATGAGAATCTGAGCTTTATAAATTCACATATATTTTAGCAAACACGTTTCTTTAAATGAACCATTATTTACCATAAAACATACAAAGTATTAAAACAATTTCACTTAATTGATATTTTGACTCTGAAATCAGTAAATTGTTTCATAAAATCTGAAGGAAATAAATACATTCATTTATATTTTCTTACCTGATGGAACACAAGTTACATTTGCTGAAGAGTCCAAGTCCAATACTTTAGTTTGTACTGACAAATTATAGTATTCTTAGTTCTCAAACAGCTGCTAAACATATCCAAATATTAATGTGAAATGTAAGTTCCTATATTGTTTTGACCAAGTAATGGATTTATACCTTTAACAAATTGATTTTTCTGTATGTTTTATTCTTCAATTGACTGGGTTTAGGAGTGAGCCACTTTGAAGGTATGTTTGGCCTATGAAAGCCGACTTGAATCAGAGCTTTTCTAAATTAAAAGAAGATAACATCCCTGATTTTCTTCTGTGGGTGGCTGGCTATATGCAAACCAAAAAAATCTACAAAAACATTAAGGTACACATTCTGCACACTGTAAAATCACACAGACTAAAAAATATCCTCCACAAAAATTTATGAAGTATTTTAAGGGCTTACAGATACTTTCTGGAATGAAGAAGAGTTATCAATTATAGTGTATAACCTAGACAGAAATGTTATCTTTAGTCAATTGACTTTCTCTTTCATTGACCAAAAGGTATAATGTTAAGATGCTTATCAGGAATGTCAAACATCTGTTTTTAATAACCAAAAGCACAAAATCACACGTGTGTGTGTGTATTTGCTTTATCATTAACATTTTTTTCACTTGAAAATTTTATTAGAAAATAAATTTCAGTGTAAAATGGGTTTTCAGTTGAACTATTTAATTTAGATTAAATTTTAACTTACTAGGTTGAACTATACAAAGTCACTGCTTTGGTGATTCCCAATGGTTGAATATGGCAATACCATACAGTTCAACTTACTAAATTAACCCATATATGGTAGATATTTTCTTTAAATAATTCTATACTGTATGTCCCCACCCCACTTGGTGGGCAAAGTGTTTTTCAGGGAACTACAAAATGTTAAAAAAGGGAGAACTGCAGAAGGGGTGACATTGTCAAGAAGCACTGTACTCATAATCTGACTCATGGAATTGTACCTCCTTTATACAAGTACTTAATAATAATGATAAAATGAAAAAGAAGACAATTCAGACAGCTCAAATATGCAGCTAGAGTACTGAGGTTTAAGACAGAAACTAAAGTAAAAATGGCACCCTCTCACATTTTAAATTCATACTTTGCTTTTTACTTGTTCTAAAATGAAACAAAAATCCAGTGAACTTTCAAAAATACTTTAGAAGCTCCAGCAAGAATACGCCCACTCATAGCTTGACAATAACCTAAGGAAAAATCAAATAAGTAAGAAATTGCTGATAACACATTCAAAAGTGGGATGCAAAGATATAACAAAGAAAGGTTCTGGCTCCAGAGTAAACTTGAAAGAGATCACAAAAGCTAATGGCTTGGCCACCAATGGAAATAATTTTTTTCCAAAATGCTTTTGAGAAGAAATTCTCAAATGCATCATTTTTTTAACTCTAAAAGAGTACTCAACTGTTTAATCAATCCTCTGTCATTAAATTCTTTATATATTTATGCCAAATATAGGTTTCTATTCAACTTCATTATCAAATGATGGATGACAATTAACATTCAGTAGGTTGGTTAACTTGACTCATTCATTCAATTATAAGAAAATTTCCTTGTGTGCTAGGCTAGACTTATAAATGTATTTGTAATAAAACATTATACTGAATATTTCATAGATAGGCTCCTGCTCCTTTATTTTCCACTTACTTTTCCAATATATATCTTTGAGCGCCAAGTGCAAATGACTAATTTAGGCATGTTTTGATGATCAGAATAGATTTGGTGGCCTTTATGCAATTAACAGCTTTTCATCTGTAATTTGAATTTTGATCAAATATTTAATTTCCTTTAGGGTCACTTTCTATAGCTAACTTTTTTTTAGCTTTCATTCAATGTGGACTACAAATGTTTAATACAAATAGCACTGTAAAATACATTGTTTTAAAATAAAATCTGTTTGAACAGTTAACTTTCTCACATGCAATTTCTCCTTGGGAAGGATGGGAGGAGGAGGGACTTAATTTCACAAAGTAGTCAAGGTTGGGCTTTGAACTGGCAATCCTGCCTCTACCTCCAGAGTGTGCTGGGATTATACACATTACTCCATGCCTCACTTTGTTCTCTTGTTAATGATATATTAGATAGATAGATGGATAGATAGATAGATAGAAATGCTTTTATCTGTAACAAAAAATGATCATAGTCTTGTGTATTTTTATTTAAACTTCTGCAAGTATTTTTTTTAATCTAGGTAAGGCTTTAGAGGAAGAGAGATCATACTCCCATTTATCTTTCTGAATGGTTCAAAATATTCAATTTCTTTATTTTTTTATTTTCTAGGATTTTAACTTTCTTCTTTTTTTGATCATGGGGCTTAAACTCAGGGTCTAGTTTAGTGTCCCTGGGCGTTTTTGCTCAAGTCTATTACTCTACTACTTTGAGCCGTGGCTCCACTTCTGGTTTCCTGGTGGTTAACTGGAGATAAGAGTCTAATGGACATCCTTGCCTGGTCCTACTTTGAACTCAAATCTCAGCCTCCAGAGTAGCTAGGATTACAAGTATGAACCAGCACTTGGCAACTTTATTCTTTATATTTTTCTAAGTATTTCTTTTAAAAATTATCCTTAAGTAGTTGTACTAAGAAGTTCCATTCAACATGCTGGTTTGTGAGTATAATGCATTTGGATCAATGTCACCCCTTAATCTTCCTCCATCTCTCCCAATTTCTATTGCAAGACTTCTAAGATCTTGAGCTACAATTGCTTCAAATAGTAAAAATAATGCAAAATACTACCTGAATACTCAAGAAGAGCCAAGAGCATCCTACACTTCACCTCTGCAGAGAGAAAACACATCGTTAGTTACTTGTTCTTTTCCAGCTACATCACATGTTGTCTGGGTAGCAAAAGATTAGCAAAATCTTTTTATATTAAATAATAAAAGTTCCATTTACTCTTACCCATCTGCTTAGATAAATCCCATCCATTGCTTAAAACTCTGAAATGTCTTCCACTTTTGCATTGTGTGAGTAGGAGGAAAAACCACTCAAATCCTGCCAACTCTGTAGGTTATCCTCAGCTATTTTAGCTTGTATTGTGTTCTCTAAACTCCTATATAAGACAGTCTATGTTTGCTACTATTATTTAAACTTTTAGTTTTTTATTTCATTTAATTTTTGTCAACCATGGGGCTTGATCTCAGGGCCTGAGCTATATCCTTGAACTTTTTTTGCTCAAGGCTAGGGCTCTACCACTTTGAGCTACAGCTCCACTTTGAGCTTTTAGATGGTTTATTGGAGATGAATCTCATGGCCTTTCCTGCTGGAGATGGCTTCAAATCACCATCGTCAGATTTCAGCCTCTTGAGTAGCTAGGATTACAGGCATGAGCCACCAATGCCTGGCTTATTTAAACTTTTAAAGGTAAAGGTATGTATATGTACATATATGAGGTATTAATAAGTGAACTACATACTCACTGTATTCAATGACTGATTTATCTTTCTACTTTCAACTAGTATTTCAGTAGGTAAAACTTAAAACTTACAAAGTTCCTTCCAGGGTGTAATATTATGGGATGAAAAAGAGAATAAGAAATGTCCTATTCTAGAAAGGTCCACAATGATGACAAAGAGACAGCACTAACTGATTAGAAATGCAGGAAATACTTCAAAGAGCATAAATTTCATAACCCAGACTGCAAGAAGGATTTTAGAGGCAAGATAGTACACAGAAGTCAGGTTCAGAAAAAGTATTGGATCAATTTTAGCACTATGGTATTAGAGAATTGCTAAATGACTTTGAGTTTTATCTACTTCAGTTGTAAATCATAATATCTACCTTATCTATTGCACAGGCATATGGAGAAAAATAAAGTTCTTCATAAAAAGCTTAAAATTTGAACTCTCCATGAAGGGGGTAGGTATGGAAAAAGTGGGAAATAGCATTAGTAAACGAACATAGTAGAGAATAAATAGCAAATGCCTAACCATACAGCATAAGGAGATTTCATTGCATCATTAAAAGATTGAAGCTAGGTGCCACTACCTCACATCTGTAATCCTAGCTGAGGATCCAAGGATCTCAGTTCAAAGTCAGCTTGGGCAGAAAAGTCCCTAAGATTCTTATCCCCAATAAATTAAAAAAAAAAAAAAAAAACAGAAGTAGAGCTGTGGCTTAAGTGGTAGAACATTAACCTTGAGCACAAAGAAGCTCAAGGACAGAGCCCAGGTCCCAAGTTCAAGCCCCAGGATTTGCAAAAGAAAAAAAAAAGTGAGACTGTGATTTAAGTACATACAAAGCCCTACTGAAAACAGCTTCTAACACCAGATGAATGTACATTTTTCTTATAGAAAATCACCACACCATGTTCTAGAGTAGAATATTGACACTATGAACATGATATCGTAAGAAAACAAATCTGGTAATAGTCTAGGTGAATCAGAAAGCTATCACCCCAAGGAAACATGTGAAAAAGAAAGAAATGTTCATTAGAACAAACATAGAGGAAAGAAAAAAGAAAAAGAAAAGGTAGATCGATGCAAAGATGGATGACTTTGAAAAAAATAAGACACAATTCTTTGAAGAGGAAGACAGTTGCAACTATGTTCACTAACAGACATATGAGATGATGATGGAAGGCTGTTCCAGTAGAAATATTTGGCTGGTAACAGAAGTCCATAACTTAGCTGAGAAATTAAGTGAGAGACAATGACCATCTCCGTGATAACTCACAATCAGACCCTGTGGATCTGGTACTGTCTCTGTTCTCTCCTTCTATTTTTTTGCAAGCTACAAATGTATGTGTAAATAATGCTACAACTTTTGAAGACTTGTAACAAATCTTCCTTAATAAAGGCCACAGATTTGTGATATTTTTATATCACATTTGGGATATATTTCATGGGATATTTTAAAATCAGAGACTCAGAGATATCAGAAATAAGGTTATTCTATCTATCTACATAAACCATGAAATACTAGCCTGGTGGCATGATGTCAAGTTTCCAGCCAAGACTGCACTACGCATTAAGTCACTCTCTCACTACATGAAGACAATTTGGGAAGTGGAACGAAAACTACTTGAAAGTGAATAGAACGTAATTGGGTTACGGCCAGGAGGTTACCTGTGGGCACTTCCACATAACAAACAACTGATTTCAAGGACTCTAATGTGCTGTTTTCATACCATATAAAAGCAAGCCACACAGACTACCACGAAATGGCAGTTTGCTCTCTCCTTAGATTGTGCCCTGGATTGAAGCATGAGGGTAAACTTATCATTTTAAATGACTCATTCAACATGACAATGAGAATTCTCACTCAAAGAGGAAGCAGCATTTCACTGAAACAGAATGAGCAATGAAACTCTGCAAAAAGCCTCATCTAAACCAGCTACAGGGCTCCCATAATCAAAAGATTCATGATTCTATACCATCCAATCAATACGGGTATCTAGTTATCATTTCTGTGGCTGCTACTTGCAATTACTAAACACAAATGCAATTTCCTTTCTTCACGAACCAGAAAAACTCAAAAGATGATGAAAACTACTACAGATTTACACCTTCTGGGAGTGTTAGGAAACTAAAAACTACCTTTTGAGAAAGCATGGCCTTTAATCAGAAAGTATATATTCTTCAATTACCTAAACTCTGCTGTCTTTAAAAAAATTATTTATCGGGCTGGGAAGGTGGCTCAGTGGTAGAGCGCTTGCCTTGCATGCCTGAGGCCCTGGGTTCGATTCCTCAGCACCACATAAGCAAAAAGAAAAAAGCTGGAAGTGGCGCTGTGGCTCAAGTGGTAGAGTGCTAGCCTTGAGCTGAAGAGCTGAGGGACAGCGCCCAGGCCCAGAGTTCAGGCTCCACGACTGGACCCCAAAAAATTATTTATCATTTTTGCTATTCACTATTTGGGAAGTTTTTAATTCAGACTTTTCATTGAATTCAATGTTACCAATTGTCACAGGAATCATGAAATTGAGTCATATAATAATAATATGGCCAAGAAATGCATCACAGAGTAGAATTGCTGTGATTTGTTTTGGGGAGAGTTCTCTAACTGCCCAAACTTCTTCTCTGATCTAAGTGGTGAAATCTGAGTGCATTTCTATGCAGAAGACTTTGGAATAACGGAATGTTTAATCTGTGTCTCATTTTGTAAGTGAGGAAATTAAGGAATAAAGGAGGTAAGTGGCCAGATAGACCCTATCATATATAAGGAACTGTACTTTGGCCGTAAAGTATGTAATTCTTGCTAATTTACCCAGAAAATTTTTGTAATTGGGGTTATGCTAGATTCCTGCTGGATACTCTTAGTCATAACTAAATGCAAACTGATGACTTAAAAATCAAGAGGAAAGCTCTGGTTATATATATTTCCCAACCTTAGCACTGTCAACATTTTGGGCCAAATGCTTCTTCGTTGTGACAGATGGCCCCTTGCATCGTAGAATACTTAGCAGCATCCCTGGTGTGTACTCTCTAGGTGCCAGCAACATACCCCCACCTGGACAAAAGTATCTCCAGACACCACCCACCACTAGCCTAATGACGGAGAAGACCACTGCTGAATTGGACAACTTTAAAATTGCAAGCATTGCTCATGTCATGTTTACTATCCTAATTATTTTTAGAAACTCTCAGACTTTTCTACTTAGTAACTCCAACCTCAAACAACAGTAAATCAGACTCAGTGGCGCTGTCTCCGTGCTTCGCATCTCCAATTTACCGGTTGTACCAGTGACAAGCTCTCACGTGAATAATGCCATGGAAGTTAATCACCATCAATGGAAATAAGCACTTCCGAAAGAAACCTATAAACTAAAAATGTGATCTAGGCAATTATTTTGTGATAGATTCACCAGTGATTTTTGTCTTCCTATAGAATTCATTATTTTTTATGAATCTTTTACGGTGTTTTGTTCTGAAACTTTCAAATTAAAAATCTAAACTCTGCATGTTCCACCTGTCTATGTATGAGACTTATTTTACTCATTCAGAATATTGTTCATGACAAACACTACAAAGCCTAGGCTCAGGCAATAGTGTGATAAACCTTCCAAATCTCCTCATTCTTTTATTCATTTACTCCTTTTCTCTTCTCCATAATGAAACACTGCACCAAGAAATGAGGCATTATGGGATTTCTGATTATTGATGTGCACTGTTCTTTTCATGCTGACCTTCCACAAACTTTCTGATGCTCTGAGCGAGAGCCCGGACACTACTGGGAAGATTCCAAGGATCTTGCTTGATGTGAAGCCTCAACCTTTTGGGACAGTTCAGCTTTGCTTCCATTTCCTGTTGAAATTCTAAATAAAGATAGAAAATCATTCATAAGTCTCAAACAATTAATTTCCACACAGAGTTAAGCCCATAGGCTTCAGAAATGTTTCTTTAAGACTATCATCTTAAAATAATATCATAAGGACAAAATTTGGACCTAATCAGAATAGAAAATTTCTTAAACATAAAGTCAAATTTTATTGTCATTTTTCTTACAAATGTTCCAACAAAGAGGCAAATTTAGACAAAAAAGCTCTCTTTTTAAATCCTAAATAGGATATGAGAATATGATCTCCCATTCTGCTTGAGTGCCCATTTCACCAATTTAAATTCCCAGATCACTTCTCCCCACCCCAAACATAACCAGGTAAGCATTATGCTTGATTGCAGCAAAAGCAACTTAATACTTACCTTTGATTAGTACATCATTACTTAGCCTGGCTCCTACAGTTACCAAACATTTTAACTTTCAAATATACCTTCAAAGTGACATATAAAAAACTTTAATTTTAACATATTCATAAATGATCAAAACAGAAGAGGAGTACTGGGTGAATTATGAAACTACCATTTTTGTTCTACGTGCTTTTGTTTCATGACTCTTTTGTCTATTGCCTTTTGTTTCCTAGTATCTTCTACTAGTTATTTTGCAAACATTACCTTGTAATCCTCGACCTGGAGTGAGATACTTGGTTTGCTCAAAGGCCCTCACCACAGCTTGTCCTTTCAGAAGATTGGTAATTGAATCCACCTGTCAATAGCAGATTTCTAAGCATTACACACTTTCCACAATGCATGAATATACATTTGCTAATCTGAAATGTTTTGTTCTTAAAGAAATAATTGGCCTGACACTGGTGGCTTATGCCTATAATCCTAGCTACTCAACAGTATGAGAACTGAGAATCATGGTCTGAAGCCAGCCCAGGCAGGTAAGATTGTGAGACTGATCTCTAATAAAGTACCCAGAAAAAGCAGGAAGTGACACTATGGCTCATGTAGTGGAGTGTTAGCCTTAAGCAAAAAGAAGCTTAGTGACAGCACTCGGGCTCAGAGTTCAAGCCCTAAGATTGGACAAAAAAATAGAAAAAGAAATAATTGCTTTTGAAAGAAACCCTAGAATGTTTAAAAAATCTATTTTTACATAAAATATTATAATCAACACATTTTCTCACCAAATAACATTCCAAATGATTTCTTATTATTATATCACATATTAATATGTTTATTTCGTGAAAGCTTAAAACTTTATTTATGAGCCTAGAAGCTATTGAAACCTTTCTCAAAGTAATAAGACCTTCTACACTACAAATTTTAACATGTAAATGTAAATTGAAATGTAAATTGAAAATGTAAATTGAAATGGGTATCAAGATAATATTGTACTTCTGGAAATTCAGAATTTGGTTGAGCAAGAAATTTCCTAACGTATCCACAAAAGCTTCAAAAATCACCAAAAGGCTAATGCTTATGCAAATAAAGAATTTTCCAAGGACTATAAAATACTTGATATTCACCACGATCCTTTTAGTTAGTTAAGGAAGAAATCTCTATACCTCTCTGAAATTAAAAAAAAAAAAAAAAGTAGAGGGACAAAGTGAGGCCTTTTCATTCTAGTACCAAACTTTAAAAAAATACATCTGAAGATATTCGACACTATAGTCTATAGAAAAGATCCATAATTGTCCCATCATACCTGGCTGAAAAGATGCTCAAGGCAACTGTGTATCTTGTCCTGTTTATCATGAGAAATGCGGACACTAAGGGGAAGTTCATCACCTAGATGGAAAACACAACAAGCAAGAAATCCAAAATCTTCATCACAAAATATTCTCACATTAAAGACAAACAATTCCAAACAAGTTCTTTTTTTTCTTTTTTTATGATTTTTTAATTGTGAAAATACTGTACAGAGGAGTTACAATAACATGGGCAAGATAATGAGTATATTTCTTATCAAGCATTGTTGCCTCCTCCTTTGTTTCCCCTCCCCATCCCTTCCTAACCCCTCCCCACTCCACCCCCCACGGCCAAAGTTGTAAAGTTCATTTTTCAACATAATGACTTGTACATCTCATTGTTGCAATGGGTCCACCTGTATACCTATTTAAATGATTTGTATTTTCCCTTCCCCTCCACAAATTATACCAACATCAAATACAATGAGAGCAGGGGTTATATCGTGAGGGAGGGACATTCATACAAAGCAACAAAGAAATCATCTTATAAATATGTTAGAAACAATCACATGAAAAAAAACACATTTGAATGTTTATCTTGGGGTTCATTTCGCCTAACATAAACTTATCTGACCTTTTCTGCTTGTCTCAGACATATACTAGTTATTGCAGATAAGGGAAACCATGGGGCCTATGCTTCTTTGGGCCTGGCTTACTTCACTTAATATAATTTTTTCCAAGTCTTTCCATTTCCTTACAAATGGGGCAGTGTCATTCTTTCTGACAGAGGCATAGAATTCCATTGTGTATATAGATCACATTTTCTTGATCCATTCATGTACTGAGGGGCATCTGGGTTGGTTCCATATCTTAGCTATGGTAAATAATGCTGCAATAAACATAGTTGTGCTGGTAGCTTTAGTATGGTCTTGTTTGTGATCATTTGGGTAAATGCCCAAAAGTGGGATTGCTGGGTCACAGGGGAGCTCTATGTGGAGTCTTTTGAGGAACCTCCATACTGCTTTCCAAAGTGGTGGAACAAGTTTACACTCCCACCAACAATGCAGTAGGGTTCCCTTCTGTCCACATCCCCTCCAGCATCTGTTGTTATTAGAGTTCTTGATTATAGCCATTCTAACTGGGGTGAGGTGGTATCTCAATGTTGTTTTGATTTGCATTTCTTTTATGGCTAGGGAGGTTGAACATTTCTTCATGTATCTATTGGCCATCCTTCTTTCCTCTTCAGAGAAGTTTCTCTTTAAGTCTTTAATCCACTTATTTATTGGGCAGTGGTTTCTTTGAGGATTTGTTGTTGGGGGATTTAATTTTTTGAGTTCCAGGTATATTATAGATATGAGATCCTTATCCACTGCATGGCTAGTGAAGATCTTCTCCCAGTCTGTGGGCTTTCTATTGATCTTGCTAGCTATGTCCTTTGCCATGCAGAAGCTCTACAGCTTCATGCGATCTCATTTTTTCCAACCTTTCTTTGATTTGTTGTGTTACTGGGTCTCTATTAAGAAAATTTCGGCCTGTGCCGAGGAGACCTAGAGTTTCTCCTATTTCATCCTGTAATGTTTTCAGAGTGTGTGTTTTAACACCGAGGTCTTTGATCCATTTGGAGTTGATTCTGGTGCAGGGTGATATATTAGGATCTAGCTTTAGTTTTCTACAAGTAGTTAACCAATTTTGCCAGCACCATTTACTGAAGAGGCCGTCTTTCTTCCATTCTATTTTTTTAGCTCCCTTATTGAAGATTAGAAGGCGATAGGTCTGTGGGTTCACTTCTGGGTTTTCAATTCTATTCCACTGGTCCTGAGGTCTGTTCTTGTGCCAGTATCAAGCTGTTTTGATTACTATGGCTTTTGAGTAGACCAAACAAGTTCTTGACCCATAATAGTTCTCATGCTGAAAGAGGAATTCTGAAAGCTTGAATGTCAGATCATCACTCCCAACACAGTGAACGTGACACACAAAATGGAAACTGTACAAACTCATGTAATTGGTGCTTTCAAATGGCATGTTGTTCCAATGACTAATGGTGAAATAAGCTATGTATATGAAAATTAAGATTTACTGTCATTAGATGAAAGTCTTCTTCACATATCAAAATAAGGTATTTGTAATCTGTTAGAGAGATCACTTCCAATCTCTCTTCCATCTTCCACATGTAAGGATTGTTCAGATAATGTTGCTGCAAAAAGATCCTCCCTGCTCCTCAGCTCACCCGACCCCAATCAATCATGCCTGTGCTGTGGGGAAAGCAGTTTCTTGTGTAGATTCATAATGATCAGAACACAGAAGCCAAAAACTGGTTTGCTCTTTCACTTTTTTTTAAACCTACTCTCCATATATTTGGGCATGGGAAATTGACTTTATGGAGCACTTAACACTGAAATGCATCTTGAGTGGTGACCAAGAATGAAGACTACATATTCACATGCATCAAAGAAACCATTTCTCAAGGTATCTCCAGTAGAACTGAGTTCAAAGAGCACAGATAGTCACCACACACCTGAGTCCATTTCGTCACTGTGGAAGTAGGAGCTGCACTGGCTGCTGCAGATGCTCGTGAAAGAGGCGATGGAGTTCCTGTTGCTGTTGCAGTCGCTGGGAAGAACAAGACTGTGTTACGATGGGTTTGCCCAAATGTTGCTACTTCTCACTACAGAACTTTGTGCCAGTTATATTTATTGATATGTTTCATATCAATTACAAAAAAGGTGGACCTTGTAAACATTTAACTAAAAAAATTTTATGTATAGAATTTTTTTAATTGTGAAAATACCGTGCAGAGGGATTACAATTACATGAGCAAGGTAATGAGTACATTTCTTATCAAGCATTGTTACCTCCTCCTTTGTTTCCCCTTCCCATCCCTTCTCATTCCCTCCGCCCCCCAAACCCCTTTCCTCCAGCCAAAGTTGTAAAGTTCGTTTTTCGACATAACGACTTGTGCATCTCATTGTTGCAATGGGTCTACCTGTATCCCTATTTAAACGATTTGTTTTTTCCCTTCCCCTCCACAAATTATACCAACATCAAATACAGTGAAAGCAGGGGTTATACCATGGGGGAGGGACATACAAAGCAACAAAGAAATCATCTTATAAAAAATTACTGTAACTAAAGGTGGACCTTTAAAATTTATTGTAAATAAAAATGCATTTCACTTTTCTTACGTAATATAATTGAATCTTAAGTGATTTTTTAAAATATGTCATTATAAAACTAGGACTCAGACTACATATAAAATTTTTCATCATTTATTTCAAAATAGTGGTTAGATCATTTTCTAACAGACACAAAGTCCTGTTTTATAGTTTCTTCCATCTGTTTTTGGTAGCTTCACTTATAGATTACTGGCTACACTCTAAGCTCTCTCAGAAGGTACCTTGTCTGCTGCCATACACAGCACAGCACAATCGAGTCTCCAGTAACACTGAATGCCCAAGGAAGAAAGGTTTAAATATTTGTGTATGACCACAAACACTGTCCACACTCAAAAATATTGCAAGAGATAAACTATTTTTACCTCTTAGTGTAAGTATAAAGGACTTATTTAACTTTAAATTTATATTTAGAATTTCTATCTTAGACTACTGGGAGAGTGGGAGAATAATTTTAATTATCTGATAATGAGAACATAAGGTAAAAAGCATTTTCAGATGTAATTTCCCACTGGAGGGAAAAACCATGGATTTCTATTTAACAGTGTGCTGGTATTTTTAGAAGCTAAAAGTAAATGAAATGGTAAAGGTAATTAATCTGTGTGATGCATTATTAAATCTTTAGTAATAATTAAAATTCTTTGGAGACAAAAAAAAAGCTGGGGTGGAAAAGTGATTTCAAAAGAAGCCATGAAGTCACATCACCTACTCTCCAAGGTAAATTATGTTAACTCCGCAGCTTCCTTGTATATAAAATGCAGTTACTCTAAACCTGCCAAATCCTGTGGTGGGGATTAGTTAAAATGTATTTTTAGTGTTACTTATTATTTTGATTTAAAAATTTCTGATGGGAATAACCTATTGGATATATATTTGCATACTATCTTTCCATAATATCTTTCCATGCCAAACCCTGTGGTGGGGATTAGTTAAAATAGATTTTTAATGTTAGTTATTAGTTTGATTTAAAATTTTCTGATGAGAGGCTGGGAGCCAGTGGCTCACGCCTGTAATCCTAGCTACTCAGGAGGCTGAGATCTGAGGATCGAGGTTCAAAGCCAACCTGGGCAGGAAAGTCCGTGACACTCTTATCTCCAATAAACCACCAGAAAAACTGGAAAGTAGAGCTGTAGCTCAAGTTGTAGAGTGCTAGCCTTGAGCTGAAGAGCTGAGGGACAGTGCTCAGGCCCAGAGTTCAAGCCCCATACCGACAAAAAAAAATTCTGATGAGAATAACCTATTGAATACATATTTGCATAGTATCTTTCTATAATATCTTTCCATCTGTTGTATAATAAACTATTAATTGATGCTAATGCCTATAGTCCTAGCTATATTGTCCTAGAAGGCTGAGATCTGGGAACTGCTATTCAAGCCAGCCTTGACAAGAAAGCCCAGGAGACTCTTATTTTCAATTAATCAGCCAAAAGTTACAAATGGCAGTATGGCTCAAGTGGTAGAGAACTAGCTTTGTGCACAAAGCTCAGGAGCAGTGCCCAGGCTCTAAGTTCAAGCTCAAGGACTGGCACACACACAAAAACATACTTTTATTGAAGACCTTGTCTTAAATGCAGAATCAATTTGATCTAATTGCTGAAATGAGGTTGAGAAATTCAACAGTTACCTGTAGGAATCTCTGTTGCTGATGGTGTCATGGCCTGAATCTTCTTGCTCATCCCCTGCCACATTGAAACAGACTCGTTTGCTGTTTCTTTCTCCTTTCTCATTGTCGCTGTCTGTTGGTACTACACATTCTGAGGTCTTACGCTCCAATTTAGGAGAATATGTTATTGAAGACAGAAGACTGAAATGTGATACAAAAATAAGTACACATTTTCAAATTCACTGCCACAGATAGCTACCTTATTTATTTCATATGAGGAGCTTACAAACATTTCTACAATGTTTCCAAGTCTCACATCATTTATTCTCTTGTGTAAAAAACTTGACAAAGAAAGTTTATTATTTTTATAGCCAGCCTCTGGTGGCTTATATCTGTCATCCTACTAGCAATGGGGCTGAGATCAGAGGATGGCAGTTCAAAGCCAACCTCAGCAGGAAAGTGAAACTTTTATCTCCATTTAACTAGCACAAAGCCTGAAGTGGAAGTGTGGCTCTAGCCTTGAGTGAAAGAAAACATGCAAGAGCATGAGGCTCAGAGTTCAACTTCCAGTTCCAGCACCAAAAAAAAAAAAGAAAGAAAGAAAGAAAAAAGGACTGGTCAAAGGTGATTCCTAATTTTTGTTCAGAATGAGTAACAAATGAGTAGTCAGAAAGTCAACAGTACTTAAACCCATTGATCACCTTGTTTTTAGGACAAAGTTATGGTAGTCTCATGGCAATCCTAACAAGGTTGTACCAGGAATGAAATGTGAGCAGTATACCCTCATAGCTAGCAGCTGTCCTTTCTGTCCACCTCACCATTACACCTCTACCACAGAGGACACTTTAAAGTATATCCAAATATTAAAAGCAAATGTTCAATGTGCTTCAGGCTCCCCGCAGGCTCAGCCTTAAATGTTAGAAACCCATAGACCCTTGCTTTTTGACTTTTTCATTTGACAGAGAATTTCTTATTGTCAATCTTCTCGCTGCACACACAAGCAGAATTCCTGGCCTTACTGACTGCAAGAGGCTGAATCAGGGTCACATCAACATGAGGACAGGAAAAAGCACAGGTCACCCCAAACACACTGGAAATCCAGTCAGAATGAAAGATGCCCAATCTGTCCAATTTAGCTCAATGCCACCTGAAGACTGAACTGCTGAGGTAGTTTTTGAGTAACTATTGATTCTACTACTCCAAGGTTTAAATGGGTAGCTGTACATTGCTGGTATTCCAAAAGTCTAACTCAAAATCAGGCAAAAATTATCTGGGTTCAGGTGGCTCACATCTGTAATCCTGGGCTACTCAAGGGGCTAAGATCTGGGGATCACAATTTGAAGCCAGCCTGGGCAGGAAAGTCTTATTTCCAATTAACCACAAAAAGCCGAAGGAAAGTCACTCAAGTGGTAAGAGTGCCAGCCTTGAGCAAATACACTAAAGGACACTTCCCAGGTCCTAAATTCAGGCCCCAATATTGGAAAGTATGCACATGCACACATACGTGCGTACGTGCGCACGCAAGCATGCGCGCGCGCACACACACGAAAGACTAAAAGAAAAGAACTAGGCAAATCTAAAGCAGACTACAAAACTTGGGAGATATATTAAACTCTATTTAAGCCAAGACCCCATGTAAACTTCTCAAACTAACAATTATCTTCTCCTGTACTAAATAGCTATGGTGTACAGTTCCAACCACTGACACATACTTTTACACTCATTTCCCATAGCAATGTAATGATTTCTTTTTTTATTTTTAAGGTTAAAAAGCAGCTTATATCTCTTAAATATCCCTGACCATCAAACCCTGTGCTGAACATTAAATAGATACTTGTTAAGTAATTTCACTCTTAAACACATTTATTGTACCAGAATTCATGAAGCATAAATTCCACTGGGAGGAGACAAACAACAAACAACTAAACTTTATAGTATATTAGATAGTAATAAATGTAAAAAGTAAAAGTAAAAGGGGGAAAAAAAAGGATAGGAAGAGGGCTGGGCCTGGGATGTGGCTCATTGGTAGAACTCTAGCCCAACATGTATAAGGCCCCCAGCACCATAAAGGAAAATACACAGAAAAACAAAAAACCCACAGACTACAATTTCAAATAGTGAAGGAGGGGATGTCTCTCTATGAGGTGATATTTGAATAATATTTTAGAATTTTTTAGTTTATAGACACCAGTGAAAATTAAAGGAGCTATGTTACATTGCTCAAGGCTCTGTGATCATCTCCAATAACTGAAAACTATGAATTATTTGAAACACAGTTTTTCTATCTAGAAAAAAATACTTTTATGTCTTGTAAGCTAGATTTTAATATTTATTCACTCTTTATACCCAAAAGATTAACACATTAGGTTAACTCCAATTACCCAAGATCCATACTGCACAGGCAGATTAACTCTGAATACAATGAAGAAAGATACACAGGCATTCTATTTATGCAAGAAGTCCTTGGTGCTTATATATCTTTTAAATTAGAAGATTTACATAGTTTGTTTAGAGTTACAAGTATTACATTCACTTATTTGCTTCTCATTTTAAACAGATTCAGTCATGCTTGCACTGACCCTAAGGGAACAAGGTTTTAGTTTTACAAACAAATGATAGGGAACCTTGTTATCCACACCACGCTCTTAAATGAAATCTCTAGACCAGAAAACATCAAGGCATGTAATGTGCCTTGTGCATGCCAAAGTATTCTCTTTTGCTTTTGCTCACATACAATATTCAGCTACCTATAATTAATACATTAATTAAAATTCAGATCAATACTCCATTCCATATCAATTTCCACTCTATTGTTGCTGGTTAGTATTTTTGAGCACAGTATATTCTATCTACTGTATATTTTTAGATATAGCATCATTGTCATAGCTAACAACCATTGAAATCCTTCACATTACTGAAAAGGTGTAAGTTCAACATACTTAATACTGAGTAATTTATTATAATAATGGTGATAAAGTGTATTATTAGTATTCCCATTTATGAAGTAGGATAAGGGGACATACTGTTACATACATTTAGAAAATTAAGCAGACCCTCCTTTGTTCCTTTTATATTTGCATATATAGAGAGATTTATAGATGTAGTTATAAGAATAGATATCTCTTAAATACTGGAGAGATTAAGGGGGGTGTCACTGTGGTACAATCCTGTGAGGTATTCCTCTAACCTTCAAACATAGGCATGGCCATGGCTTGCTTTATTCAACACAAGGTGAGTGAACATTATGGGGGTCACTTCTAGGGAAAAACCTCTACATAAGTGCAAAGATTGTCCTAGTCCCTTCTCATATTTTGACAAACAGAGATGTTTCAGTTCAAAGAACACCTTCCTGCAATTCTGAGGATAATGTAGAACAGAAACCCAGTGCCCCAAAATGGGCATGGAGAATGAGCAAGAACAAAACCCTTTGTTGCTTATGTTGGTGATACTTTTAGACCTTTGTAAATAATGAGGGAGGTAAAAGCAGAAGTGGTGTATAGAAACTATATGTCTAGAGAAGACAATATTGGTAACTGGAGTGGAAGAATGTCTTCATGAATAGGAGGACTAGGCAAAAACTCTCCACAGATCTGCCATTAGCCTGATTCTTGAGTGCCTAGGAGGCTGGACACAAACACCTTGGAAACACCAGGCAGGGCACCCTTAGGTGGCACTAAAGTTGTCCAGGAACAGAATGTGTCTAGTGAAGCTGGCACTCAATGTGATGAGTCTGGAAAGATGGACAAAAACGGAACATGTAGGAACTGGCAGGGCACAATACCACACTCGATATTACAATTGGCCCTCTGCATCATGAGTTCAATATTCATAGAGTCCATCAATCTTGGATCAAAATTATACAAAAATTCCACATGTACTGCATATGTATATTTCCTTGTCATTAGTACCTAAATAATAAAACAATTTTTCACATAGAATATACATTTTGTTATAGATTATGTTATCTGAAGATGACTTAAGTATATAGAAGGATGGTAGTAAGTTATATGAAAGTACTATTTCATTTTATGGAAGGGAACATCCTGGGATTTTGGAATCAGAAGGGAGTCCTGGAACCAGTCTGTGGAACCAAGGGACAACTATGGTTTAACGACAGTGTGATTCTGTGTAATGCTCTTCACCAGGAACCAGCACCATTCTCCTTGCAGACTCTGATGGCAAATGTTGAATACAGAATGTATCAAGAAAGAAAGGCACAATCTGGCAATTATTATGGTGGCAATAGTAAGGGAGATGGCGAACTCGGTCTAGAGTAAAAGACATGCACAGATGGTGAGAAGTGTAATCTACACAACCTGAAGTGGAATGGGGAAGGAGGGACAGGAAAGAGAAGAAGCACAGATGACTTCTGAACTCGGGCTTGAGGAGCTGAAGTGAGAAACACTCCACTAAGTAGAAAAGCCCTGAGTGAGAAAGGATCCAAACAGGCTTGAATCTAATGAACTGGAATTCAGAACGATAAGTGCAATGCATTTAAAAAGATATCTGTGAATCATTGCAGCGTTGCTCTCATAATCAGATCTCAGAGGGATTGTGAAAAGGAAATAAGGAAATACATGTAATAAGTGAATGCATGCAATAATATAACCCTAACCAGCGCTGAAGTACCTGTGGTAGATATTGATTCTGTGCCTTCATTTTTACACTTATCAGAAAAAATGCTTAAGGAAACTTCAAATATAATTCTACCACCAATCCCACTATTCCTATTTAGAGCCCCAGGTCACTACTGATGAGTGCAGCTTGCTCTTCACTAAATCCTGGAGCATCTGGTCACAGCAAATAAAGCCTGTCCCTGTATCTCCTAACTTACCTGGCCCCTGGCCCTCTGCATTAGTTTCTTTCCAAGGAAAACTCACAAATCCTCTACTTGAAAATTCCATAAAATGTTTGGGATTACTCATGAATTATTTTTTCTTTTACTCATTTCTAGTATCTTCTGTCATTAACCAGGAAATAGTCTACTTAGGAGAAAAAAGTACTCAGCCTCCCAAAGTGAAATAAAAAATCATAATCCTCAGTAAAGTCCATAACATGACTTTATCTCATATTACTAGACAGCAAATTCATCTCTAATTCCACATTTGAATCTGAAACTAAGTAAGAGGGTTTAGCAAACGTCTATGTGTTATAAGAACTTTTAATATCTGCAAGTATTCCCAAGTGACAGGTAGCCAGACCTTAGGAAAAGACAAATTCAGCACCAGGTCCTTCATAAGAAAAATCAATTTCTGGAAAGGCAAGCAATGAAAGCTTACAAGGCAATTTCTCTTAAAGCCTGGAAAAGCATCTGAGATTTACTTCTGTTGCTTGAATAAGAATAATTACTACATGGTGAGAAAATTGTCTCCTAACGAGCCTTTTAAATAATTCGTTAAGCTCAACTGCACTGCAGAACCTATGAATACAAAAAGCCATGGAGAATGTAGGTCCTTGAACAACTGGACTGTTTTAACATGATTACATTGTAGATTGAATTATGAGGAACAATTTTAAATTAGAATTAAATTATATGCTCTACATGGAGAAGACCAAGATTATGTCTTCAATCATTTGTTCATTTCATATCGTTTTCCTCATACACATGCAGAGCTGGGAAATAGCTTTCAGAATGAGAGAAAGTTTGGCAAGAAATTTGGGTGAAAAAAAAAATATAATTTTCAGGAGCTTCAGCTAAAAGAAAATCCAAACTCCTTTGTGCAACTAGATATTTAAATATAAATATTTTAAACTAAGTAAACAAACCTCTGTGGTTCAAGATTTCCCTTAAAAATTTATCTAAAATACCTAAATCTAAAAAGAAAAGTCAGCAAAATAATGACATGTGGATGAAAGCTGGGCAATGTTGGGAGTGGATGCATTAAAGAATTTGTCTCTGACTCAGTTTCAGAAAGCACATCAACAACCCTGCCACTGACTAAAGAAAAGTGGAGATAATAAATAGCTCTTGGCCTAACTGGAAATGTGAGACAGGTCTGGATGCTCTTCTAAAGTTCCTTTGAGAACTAGGCACTACAATTCAGTGCCCTATACCAAGGATTCTATACACTTCCCCAATATCTTCAGAAAAGAACAACTTTCTAAAATAGAAAATATCCATGTCATGAAATCACATTTATTAAATAAAACAAATGCAATGACCTAAAATGTGACCTTCTCTCTCACCAGGATTCCAAGAGAATTCGTAGTTATTCAATTGCTTAAAAATAGTATGTTGTCTTAGTTACCTCAGACTGTTTAGTTCATCTCTAAATGGGGAAGTTGCCATTTAACATTTTAGAATAACTAACTTTTTAAAACTAGTTCCTTAGGCATGGGAAAATGAAATTCGAATTATAAATCACTTACAAAGCTGCAAAAAGTCACAATTAAATATATATTTGAAGATAATTTTAAAAAATATATATATAAAAAGATGCACCAATGACTTTTTTCATAACTCAGAAATTCTACATTTATTATTTACTTGTTTATTTACTGATTTATTTAATATTAGTACTGGGGCTTGAACTCAAGAGTCTCATGCTCTTTCTTGGCTTACTTGTTCAGGTTAGTGCTCTACTACTTGAGCAGTAAATTTCAAAAATATATAGAAAAAATGAGATGAACTCTACCAGTGTAGGGTTTAATGATTACAAAAGCGTGAACTAAGTTCTAATCTCATTTATCTATGGAAGGATGAATGACATATGTATGTGAAACACACAGTCCATCTGTGCCAGCAATTTAAATCAGCCACTTCATAAAGACACTACAATGAAAACAGAGTATTGATGCTTATATAATTTTCAGAAATCTATTGACTTTGGATATATAACTTCTGCTTCTTGAATGGATGATGAGCAATCATTATAAGCAGCCATGCTGTTAATTGTTTTCAATGTTACTTTCTTTAATTTTTCCAAACCTGGAATTTGTTATTATCATCCCTCCATTCTGAAAATGAGAAACTCAACAATCCCCAAAGCCATGCAGTTCCAAATATCCTGAGGTGCCTTAATTAGATGTGAAGCACCACCAGAAAGAAGCATGTGACAAATCACCCTTCAGCGCTCAGGCGATTCTTCAACCACCACACTCTTAATAAGAATCAGACTTTATCCAGTTCAGAACATGCTTGTCAACTCTCAACATCTTATCTAGGTGAAAACTTCTAAATTACTGGCCTTGCTATTAAGACCATTGCTCAATAGGCCATTAATTCAATTAGTACAGAGAACTGGTCCTGCAAATAAATACTCTTTGCATCCGCTTACTTAACAATAATGTTATGCATTTATTATTACTTTGTAAGGTCCAGAAATATCTCTTTAGTACATATACATCAAATATTATTCCCTGAACTGCATTGAAAACAAGGAAGCCCCCATAGTGAGTAAACAGCAGATATTTCTCAGTGTAATATTTTTCACACAGAGATTTAGCATTCTTCTCTAAAACATAATTTTATCATAATCTTCCCTGATAATAAATGTTTAGCATATCATTTTAAGGTTCTAGAATAAAAAATATATCTCTAGGAGAAGTACAAGTCTGAGAATTGAGAAACTGAATGGATTTGTCAAAAGTCATTTTCTACATCTATTTTTTATTAAATACTTATGAGTATGACATAAAATACTTACTCATCTATTTGACAAACACATAACTCCACCTCTTTCAGTGCAGTATGGAGTTTTCCCAGAAGCTTCTGATAAATATCTTGTGTTTCCAAATCTTCTTCTTTCAACAAATACCGGAGACCATGGCCTCCTTGTTGTCCCAGAGATAGACCAGAAGGTGCTGCCATGGTAGTAATTGTGTGCTGAATGTACACCATAGGGCTCAGTTTCCCTGAGGGGTTAAAATTATTCCATGGTGATATTGGTTACCTTTGACTTACGACTATCCACCCAAATACAGTTTATTGATCCAAACTTAATAAAAATATAATGTTAAACCAATGCTGAATTAAATCCAGGAATTAAGGTTTATGGGAAATTGTAATTAGAAGTTACTCAGTTCAACCCTTGTTCTGTTGCAATGGTGTAGAGTAGCCTTATATATTGTCTTCATGAGCCTCAGCTATTTTTCTCCAAGTTATAAGGTTAGTTCAGACTAGTGACTGTAATTTGAATTTAGGATCTATCACACATTTGAGGAAAGCAAGAACATTCAATCCTTCTTAAAATTAAATAATATAGAAGCATCATGTTACATAAAATAAGCCATGTTCAGAAAAGGTCACATGTCTTCGAATGTATGTAGATGCTAGACCTAAATGATAAACATATATGTAAACACATATAAGATTGTATCTATCTATTATTTATCTATCTATGATCAAGCTGAATAAGTACACTGTGGGCAAGATAAGATGGTATGGTGAATGAAGCCTTTTTGATTAATTAACAGGCACTTAACAAAAATGAATATTAAGAAGTTGAAACAGGTCCTGTCTCAAATGTAGGTACTAATTGGAAAGAGGCAGGTGGATGGAGCAGGTGATGGATGACAAATATTTTCAGAGTATTTTTGTAAATGAATAAAAATGGAACAATTGTGCTTGCTCAATTTTGTTTCAAAAGGGGAAAGAGGGAGCGGGAGAATGATGGAGGATTATGATTAAGACGTATTACATGCATATCATGCACAAATGTATTATATTAATAACCTCTGTGCCAATCGCTCAAGCTAATAAAAAACCCTCTAAAAAAGGAAACAGCAAAACTGATGGTTTGTAATTTCATGCTTTAGATACTTACTTGGAATTATCTGAATGGCTAGAGTGAGGGATATGTTCTTTATAGAAGTTACTCTTCATGACTTGATAAATTTCGAAAAGCTAACCTACCTTGCTCAGATTTATTTTCTTTATCATGAGAATTATGCTTCCTATTATCCAGTTGAACACCAAATGCACTCCCCAGAGAAGTTGATGTTTTGGGATAAGAAACTTCCATCACATTGACATGGCAGTTGGTAGGGCAGAAATCACTGCTGTGCAGTGGAGAGATTTTAGATTTGGCCTGTTTAAAGGTGGGCCAGGCTCTATTCTTTAACACTCGAGAGAACTACAAATTAAAGAAAAAATTAAAATCACTTGAGCACATAGTAATAAGTCAGATATTTCACTTGCATCGCCTGTAACAAAAATCACAAGAAAATTAAATCATGCCAACTGGAACAAGGGAAATCAATTATAAGTTGTTAGAAATTAAATGGTTATCTCAGAGTCCAAAGGTTCTTAATAAATCAAAGCCATATAGACTGAAAATGTATAAAATTGCTTTGCAATTCTGATTACAGTTGAGATGCTAAAAAAGAAATGAAATCCCAGTGAGCACACCACTTCCTAGCACTCAATTCCACAGGCTCCCAGAAGCTGAGAAAGTTTAATAGAGAAACTCCACCCAGAGACCCCAAGGACAAGAAGCAGATCTTTAACAAGGCAAAATAGTGAAACAGGATAGCTTTCAGGTGAAGGGTAGATGAAAAGTGGGATTATATCAGGAATCATCAGAACCAACCAGAGCATATGTCTGAAAGCGAGATACGGCCATGTTGATCTAGATTTGCTGGATGACTATACTTAGCTAATAATCACTGCTGAGCTCTGGGATCAGAATGAGTATGAAGACTGTTTGCACTCTGCTCTTCTGTCAGTCAGTGGAAAGTGACACTCAAATGATTGAGACTTCCACTGCTTCAAAGGGTGCAATGAGTTTCCAATCACATCCATCTGCTCCTTCCCTAGTCCATAAAACTTCCCCGAGTCTGATCCTTACTCAGCTTATTTTCTCTCTGAACCTTCTTTCCTTTTCTCCTTAAACTCCTTCTGGCTTTCATACAGTTCCATTCACATACTTCTTACTCACTCTCAGCCTTTGTTACATGTTTTATGGTGTATCTAGAAATTTTCTGCCAAATTTCATCTCTGTATCTTCAGATTCTGGCAAATAACTGAGTTCCTTTCCTGTGTCCAAGATTAGGTTTCCTGGTCACTCCCTAAATTATAGTACACTATAATCCTCCTTGGAATTATAAAAGATTGCTAATCTCAGTTGGAAGATGGCAAACTTTATAAGGATACTAACTAAAAATGTCTTGCGCCCTATTAATAGGCATCTCACAGAACTGAACTGAATTGTGTTCTGATAGCAATGTAAATGACTGCTTTGAGAATACAATTGGCTAACTGTGGGCTATGTATGATGGCCGCAGTAATGAGTAGGATGGTGTACAAGTCAATTTCTTTTATTAATCTTGGGAAAATCAAGGAATTTGGATGACATTTCTATGTCTTCTTCTTACTTGAAAACTATAACTGTATTCCCACCTTCTTATTCTATTATTATTAGGGTAATAATTACAAAAGCTCATCACACACACACACATATACACACACACACACACTTGTATACATACATTATATATGTTAAACTGTTTTCAAGTCACATGCTAGAAACTAGGTAGCTCAGTGGATGTCAGCATGTTGTAGAGATCTAAAAGGAAACAGGATGAAATTTAGGAAACTATTAATGAGACCACTCACAAATTTGGTAATAATAAGTAGGGAAAAAATCATGAATACCAAAAGAAAATAAGTTAGATATTTCCTGATCCATCTTCCTCCCTTTCCTAATACACCACCTTACTAATAAACACATAGGACAGATTCAGAATTTAAAGAAGCCTATGCACATAGAACCTTGAGGGATGCTCCAAATCATAGCATGCATGAATGAAAACTGCAACACATAGACTTAAGAGACACACTCAAATCGTGGGAAACACCTCAGGAGACACCTCAGGATGTTAGACAGCCACAAATTCTTTTCCATTGTCAATTTAGAATTAAATCTTAGAGATTCTCCCATGATGCACAATGACATAGGAATAAATGTCATGCCGTCACAGTACCCATCATTGTAAGAAGTTATGCTTCTCTTGCTTTCTTCTCTTTTGATTAGATACCCATCCATTCAAAATAGGAAGAGGGTATCAATCCCAGACATGTGCTAAGTGCCAGAAGTATAGCTCTTGTGTCTTGGAGGGAGCCCCTTGCCTTCATGCTCTAGGAGGGACATAGGTTAAAAGTGATATAATAGTCTTGTTAGGTATAACAATCATATCATTGTAATTATATGTACCACATGTATAAAATATGCAGTTATACCTTTATATCATATATATATACACATATATATATATGCCAGGTTATTAGAAATGTTGGTAAGTGCTGGTAGTTAAGAGGAGGATGTAATGAAGAACTACTAGTATGATCATAGATAGTGAGGATAAGAACCACATTCTAAGGGGGACCTCTCAGAACTATTATCTCAACAAAAACCTCTGTGAACACAGTATGGCCCCATCTTTGAATGCTTGGGAGAAGTGTTTGGTCACCACCTATACAAATGTATGTGAGCTGGTAAGACTCAAGGAGAAACCTTCCCTACCAAGAGCCTCTCTTGAGAAGAAAACAACCCTGAGGTATTTCCCACGATTTGTGTGTGTCTCTCAAGTCTATGTGTTGCAGTTTTAATTCATGCATGCTATGATTTGGAGCATCCCTCAAGGGTCTATGTGGTCAAAGGCGTGGCCTCTAAATGACACTTTCCCGAAGTGGTGGAATCTTTTGGAAGTGGAGCAGGCCTGGTGGAAGGCCTTTATCTCTGTTTCCTGTTTGGTGATATAAACTCTTTCACCTCACTCACGGATTATCGGGTTGATGGATTCTTGAGGATGTGGCTTGGTTATAAAAACAAACCTCTTTTCATACTTGATGGCTCATATGTGATGGATGCCCTTTATCATTTAGTGACAAAGCAGGAAGGTTAGCAGATAGTGATTAGATGTAGCCATCCAATCTTTAAGTTCCCAATCTCCAGAATTACAAGCTGAAGACAGGAGCTCATAATTACCCAGTCAGTATTGCTTAGTTATAACATCAGAATTCAGACTAAGGCAAGCAAGCATCCTCAGGTGAAGGAGGAGGCAGCAAGAGCACTCTCCCAGCCACAAGTACTACAACATCCTGGATACATTTCAAAGATCAAAACTGTGCTCCAAGCCAGCATGCTGGTACTCAGTTTGTAAGGAGTTCCTGTAATAAAATCTTAAAACAATAATGGTAATGGCCTTAGGTATTGAAATACTGACTGTGAGACCTGCGTGGGAAGGCTGATTGTGCCATACATAAGTGCCATGAAAACATCTGCCTATCTGTTTTTAGAGAACATCAAACGAAACACCAAATTCACTAATATGCTTTGAGAAAATTCCCTCAGGGAAGTAGAGGAGCTCCTCTTCTCAAGTGAAAATTGCAATTTTGCAAGACATGTACAGGGTAAATGGTCAGGTGAACTGGAAGGAACAAGCTGTGGACTTAATATGGTATAGCCTACCTAACATAAACGTACCATCATAGCTTTCACTGATCAGTTATGGACATCCCTCAGTACCTGCATAGGACTGGTTCTAGAAGACCCCAGAGAAGCTAACAGGCAAGGATGCTCACATGCCTAATATGTTGTAGTATTTGTAGAGAACCTATATCTATATCTATCTAGCTTTCTAGCTATCTATCTCTATCTATCTATCTGTCTGCATACATAAATGCTTTGCAAATATTTTTACATCATTGTTTTTATTTTTTCAGATTTGCTTAAATCTGCAGTGATTGAATCTGTGGGTACAGCACCCACAGATACAGAGAAACAGCTCTATTTAACAAGTGGCTTCAGAGTACTACTCTTAGGGATGTGGAGAAACATCAGTAAAAGTGGGTGGATTTGGGGTCATAGCTAAACAGATAGAATGTTTACTTTGCAAGCAGGAGGTCCTAGGTTTAATGCTTAGCCCCAAGATGGATAAACGAACACACCTTAGAGATGGAACTTCAAGTTTTTAATGTACTAGGAGCTAACTCATGAATCAATGACCTTGGATATACATTTAAATCTAGTTATAGTCACGACTAAAAACCAGAAATAAAACAAAGGCAAGCTATTATTGTGTACATGATCTCCCACTGAAATTAAATGTAAAACTCTGACATGGACTTACACTTTGTATTCAAGGTTTTGCACATCATTTTCCAGATCCATGTAGTAATTTAAGGTCTATATGGAATTAACAAGTAAAGCCACTTGGAATATTTAAGGTAAGGCTTCCAAATTTTCCACATAATATTTTTTCTCTTAGATGTTTACATATGATTCCCAATATCTAATTACATCCAATTATGGAATTACTCTACATCAGAGAGATGATTCTAGAATTAAGAGATGTTCTTAGGGAAATTTCACAGAGGATGTTATCCAAAACAAGGCACAGTGTCACATTCAAATCAACTCTCCATCCCACTCAGCTGAGAATAAATACTTGCTTGGGATTCGTCTAAGTCTCTAGTAAAGTGCACCTAGCCACCAACATGGACCAAACACACCTATGGTCTGCACAGCTGACCAGGAAGTCTATTGCAATAAATATTACTACAGAATTTATGTAGAAACTACAGAAATCAACTCATTTTTAATTTATTTTTTGCCAGTCGTGGGGCTTGAACTCTGGGCTTGGGTGCTGTCCCTCAGCTCTTCAGCTCAAGGCGAGCGCTCTAACACTTGAGCCACAGTACCACTTCCTCATTCCTATTTTTAAGACCTCAAATTTTAGAGTCAAAATAAAACAAAGCCAGAGTCCCTCAGAGTTTAGTTTCTATGGATACATTTTATTTCACAAAGAGGAAAGTGTTGAAGCTTTCCTTGGGAAGAAAAATAAGTTGCTAATAATTGGTAAAAAGAAATAGGTGGAAACCTAAATATCGATGTGCATGAATGCTATGGTTTCTGTTGTCATAGATTGACATATATATTGAAGTAAGCTTATATAACTTCTTATTGCTTTAGGTAGCTACATCTTATTAATAATGAAAAGGTCCCTGAAATATTTTCTTGATAACCTCTATTGAGTAGAAGACAGTCAACTATTTTAGGTATATTTATGGTTAAGTGACATAGTGACAAAGATAGCTTTAAAGTACCTTAGGTTCTAATTGGATAGAGGATGT